AATCTATATAGTCAATATTACATCAAACAATATCAAACAATCTATTGTAGTAATCTCTCAAGTCAGATAATATTTCTAAGCAACAATCAGCCTGGTCAATTAATTACTCTAATCACTAGTCAATTATTTACACTAATCATTACTCACACTGTTCATTTAAATCCACTAAATCAAAGATTTTACTATTCAATTAAATTGCATGAATTTTGGTCTTTTAAACTAGTCAGTAATCATACTATTTGTACTAAACACTCTAATCACACTAATCAGTTAAAAAACAATAAATCAATTAAACCATTAATAAAATATTTTATAGAAATTGATTATCTAATCGTTGGTATATGTGATGAGGTAGAAAAGTTGTAAGTTTTGAGGTGATGAGGTAGTATTAGGAGTCTTCTTTGTCTGCGGGGCTCGTCCTAGTTAAAATGGCGTACCCCCTCCACTCTTATTTAAGGGCTTTTAGATCGTGAGGAAGGGATTACCGTCCTCGGAGCTCTTCAATTTCTTCAAGGGATGGAGAACGTGGCTACCGAATCGCCCTTTCTCTGGATTCACACGGGGACTTAGAACCAGAAGGAAACCTCTCCGGAGCGACCCACAACAGGAGACCGAATTGGGAGAGAAAGTTGGAGCGCTCTCACCCAGCGATCCTCCCGGCCGGCGCTTCTTGGGTTTTCTTCCTTCTCTCTCCAGTCCCCGGGAGCTCACGGCGAGTTGCAGCGGCGGACACAAGAGTCGGAGACGGCAGCTTTAGTGAGGACCGGAGCGAAGCGGCAGCAGCGGCAGCGGCGTCTCCTCCGTCTTTTTTCTTCCCTCGCTGCCCGTCGTCTCCCTCAAGTTTTTCAGCAGATCGCTCGATCTCCTTACCCGACAAAGGAAAGCGGCGGTCACAAGAGTCGAAGACGGCAGCTTAAGCGGGGACCGGAGCGAAGCGGCGGCAGCGGTAGCGGCGTCTCCTCCGTCTTTTTCCTTCTCTCGCTGCCCGTCGTTTTCCAGCAGATCTCTCGATCTCCTTACCCGACAAAGGAAGGTTGCTCAGAACGGGATTCCTGGACCCTGGCAGGATCTTCTTATTCCAGATCGGCTGGCTGCCTTTGTCCGAGTCCTTACGCTGCTACTTGTGGATCCCGAGGACCTAATCTGTGAATTTTGTTACTTTGTTACTTCTATTCCTGCATCTATGTATTTTTGTTACTTTTGTAACTTATATTCCTGTTGATACTGGTGCTTTTCTCTCCTAGGGGCTCACAGCGGCGTGACTATGCAGCTGCCTTGGTCGCCATCTTGGAATCTTTTTATTTTTTTTATTCCTGGTTTTAATAATTAGAGGGGAAGGGAAAGGAAAGGGAAATAAGTAGCGCTGCCACCTGGAGGCTTGGATACATTGTTTTCCTTTCTTTCTTTCTTGTTGATACATTTGCTGTTACATTCAAGGACTCTGCTTTTCATTGAAAAGATAGTGGGCAGAGCATGTAGATTGTTGCAGGTATTCTTCTGTGGAACTACTGACAGCTGGAGTCGATTTGAAATTGAAGAAGATTGAAGTGACCTTGAAAAGAGAACTGGAAATTAAAGAGCCTTGAACATATAGTGGCAGTGCTTTGCTTATTGACAGAATTGCATTTTCTCTTTCCTTTTTTTTTTCTATTCCCCCCCAGTTGGATTTTTATATTTGGACTTGAGTCCTTTGATGCAAGAATAAGACTACTTTTCCCCCCTCCCTCCTACCTTTGTTTTACCTTTTTAGCAAGGGGAATATACAGATTTCTGTCTTTTTAAATTTTTTCCTAATTTTTTTATTTTTTCATCCTTTTTCCATTTTCCATTTTTTCTTCTTTTTTCCTACATAATTGGAACCAATTGGATTAAGGTATTCAAGTGCCTGAAGATTTTTTCCCTTCCCTTTTTATTTTTATCTTTTGCTTTTTTTTTATTTTTTATTTTTTACTGGAGTGGCAATTGGCTGCTCTTGCTTTTTGTTTTCAATTTTTCTATTAAGTACTCTAAGATGAGCGAGCAGAAAAATACCAGCCTCAGCTTCTTCAATCCTGACTTCTTCTTCCTCACCATCTGGAGGACAACGATCAATACAGGTGATGTTACAACAAGAGAAGGAGAAAGAAGTGACACTGCAGATGATTATGCAAGGAATTCAAAAGATACAAGTAAAAACAGATACTATTGAAAAGAGAACAGAGAATATTGAGCAAAGAACGGAAAAGACAGATGAAAAAATTGAAAATATTCAACAGATGATGATGCAACATGAGGACAGAATTAAGAAAATTGAAGAACAAGATGTACAAAGAGATAAGAAGATTGGAGATATGGATACCCGATTGAGTGAAGTGGAAAGAGATAAGGGCAGATCTCTGCAATCATTGGGATGGGAAATTGGTAGGTCAGAATTCTATTTTAGATTTCAAAATATAGAAGAAGAAAAGGGTTGAGAACCTTGCTGAAATGATGACAGAAATCCTGGCAGAAGCATTAGAGGTAACTAAAGAGAAGATGATGGATGGAATGGATGAGGTTTTTCATGTCTATATAAGATATGCGATGAGAAATAAACTGCCAAGAGAAGTTCATATCAGATTTACTAAGAAAATAATTAAATCACAAATACTGCAGGCGGCAAGAAAAAAAACACTAAAGTACAAAGATAAAGAAATAGTGGTACTGAAACAGGTACCGAGAAGAGTGAGAGAGATAAGAAGAGAATATTTATTTTTGACCAAAGAGTTACTTAAGAGAGGAATAAATTACAGATGGCTGATACCCAAAGGTCTCATGTTTACCTGGCAGAAACAAAGACACAATTGATACAGTTGAAAAAGCTGAGTTATTCTATCTGGAATATTTTAGAGGAAGGGAGGAAGATACAAGAAAAGAAGAGTCGTTAATTGAATTTCAAGAGGAATGTACAGCAGTAATTGAAAAAGAAGAAGGAGCCGTAGGTGGTGTACCCAGAGAACAACGAGAACCAAGATCTACTAGAGCAACAAATCCTTCTTATAAAGTCTAAAATGGATGAGAAAAAACTGATTACAATTAATATAAATGGGCTTAATTCAGCTATTAAAAGAAGAAAAGTATTTCATAAGTTAGAGAAATTAAAATTTGATATAATCTGCCTACAAGAAGTACATATTAAAAAACAACATGATTATATATTGAAACAATAAAAATTAGGGAAATTATTTACAGCATTGACACACTGTAAAAAGAGAGGAATGGTGTTATACGTTAGAGATACAACCCCTGCGGAACAAATATATAGAGATGATGATGGAAGGATTTTGATGGTGGAGATAACGGAAAATAATCTAAAGACACTTTTAATAGCAATCTATGCTCCAAATGATAATCAAGAAGATTTTTACAGGAAATTACATAAGAAAATAATTGAACTGGACTATGCTAATATCTGTCTGATGGGAGATTTTAATGGAATAATAAATGACAAATTGGATTATAAAACACAAAAAACAGCAAAGAAAACTAGAAAGACATTGCCAAAATCCTTCTTTCGAATGGTAGATGAGATAAACTTAAAAGATGCATGAAGAGAGAGAAATGCGGAAAATAAACAATATACCTTTTATTCAAATAGACATGCATCATGGTCTAGAAGAGATATGATATGGATGTCAACAGAATAGCTTTCTAAAATACAAGACATTGAAATAGAAGCAAGTAGCTGGACAAATCACAATCCAATAACACTTGTATGGAAAGGACAAAAAAGGAGATCTAGATGGACTTTAAATAATACAATATTAAAGGAAAAAGACTTTAAACAGAAAATTGAGAGAGAATTGACTCTTTTCTTTAAAGAAAATACAAAAGAGGATACATCATTACAGAACCTCTGGGACACGATGAAGGCTTATAGAAGAGGTTTGATAATGTACTATACAAGGAAAAGAAATATAAAACAGAAAAAAATCTTTAAAATATTGGAAGATGACTACAAGAAGTTGGAAAAAGAACTACAGAAATTTCCACAAAAAAGGGACATTAAAATTAAAATGGACATAACTAAGCATAAAATGGGGCTAATGGAAAAAGAAGAAATAGCACAAAAAATTAAAAATGCTAAGCAGAATATTTTGAAGATGGAAACAAACCAGGCAGATGGCTAGCATATAAATTGAGAAAGGAAAGAGACTCAAGAAGAATAAATCAATTGATAAATGAACAAGGACATGTATGCTATGGAAATGCGGAGAAGAAAAAAATTATTCAAGATTACTAAGGGAAACTGTACCATCAAGGAAGAAAGAATTCAAAAATACTTACAGGAAGCAAATTTGCCCCAGATTCCCAAAGATATTGAAACAATGTTAAAAAGTAATATAACAATGATGGAATTAACAGAAGCTTTAAAAAAGCAAAACATTGGGAAAGCACCAGGTTCAGACGGTTTGCCAGTGGAATTTTATAAGACATTCCAGGAAACATTGAATCTTCACTTATTAGAAATTATGAATGAAGTTACGACAAAGAAGAGAATACCCAAAACATGGTCAGAAGCATATATCACACTTGTACCGAAGGAGGACACAGACCCAGAGTAAGTTAAAAATTACAGACCTATATCACTGTTAAATTCAGATTATAAAATGTTTGCTTCAATTCTGGCAGAAAGACTGAAAAGATACTTAAACAATTTTATTCATATTGATCAAAATGGATTTCTGCTGAAGAGACAGATTAAAGATAATATGAGAATAATTTTAGATACATACTATGAGGCACATCCTGAAAAACAAATGGCTCTGATGTTTATAGATGCACAAAAAGCCTTTGATAATGTGAATTGGCATTTTATGTTGTTACAATTGGACCAAATGGGCTTTGGTAAAAAATTTACTCAAGCCATAGAAACAATATATTTTAAACAAACTGCAAAGGTTACCATAAATGGAGAGTTAACAGACTTTATAGATAAAAGAAAAGGGATTAGACGAGGCTGTCCAATGTCACCTCTGTTGTTTGTGTTAACACTGGAAGTACTGAATAGGAACATCAGAGAAGAAAAAGAAATAAAAGGAATGAAAATTAAAAAAAAAAGAGTACAAATTGCAAGCCTTTGCAGATGACCTGGTATTTATATCAGAAGATCCATTGGAGTCAGAACCCAAGCTAATAGAAAAGATAGAAAGTAGCAGGTTTGAAAATAAATAAAGATAAAACAAAGATTTTAACATATTAGCAAGACGAAAGAAAGAATTGGAGGAAGTTTTGGGGATCCAGGTCACAAACAAGGTTAAGTATTTAGGGTTACATATAACACCAAGATGTAGCACACTTAAGGAGGACAATTATCTCAAACTTAAACAACAGATTGCAACAGATTTGATAAAATGGGAAAATTTACAATTATCACTGATTGGGAGAATATCTACAATTAAGATGAATGTATTGCCCAGAATCTTATATTTATTCCAGACAATTCCAATCATGCCTTCCTCTGGTATAAGGGAACTAAAACGCAAGGGTATTTTAGAAGACATTATATTCGAGAAGCATTGTTTCTAAACTGGGAGAAGATAAAAAAACAATATTATTTAAAAATTCTGCTATGGTTATCTACTATTGAAGCTTTTCCCTATCCAATAATATATCGAAAGAAACAAACAGTTAGATATGGTGAGATATTGAATGAAAAGGGTGAACTTAAATCTATGCAAGTGTTGGAAGAACAAGGTGTAAAAATGAATTGTTTTTTATATTTGTAAATACAATCTAGATTTGATAAAGATGTTAAAACAGAAGGTATTTATGATAAGTTGACTGATTTAGATAAAATTTTGACAGGTACTGATGAAAAAGTAATAAAAAAAACTTTATGGACATTTGCTAGAGTTTAAATTAGAGGAAGAACAAATAAAAGAAACAATGATTGCATGGGGGAAAAATTTAGGATATGGGATTGATTTAGACAAATGGCAAATATTGTGGTCTCAAAATTGTAAAATGACAATGTCAACTGCATATAAAGAAAATGTGTATAAGATGTTTTACAGGTGGCACTTATCCCGAACGAGAATTGCGAGGATGTTCAAGAATAAATCGGATAAATGTTGGAAATGTCATCAGATACCTGGTTCATATTACCACATGTGGTGGACATGCTCGGATGCAAAAAGATATTGGACTATAATCCACACATGGTTGGAAAAAATGATAAAACAACACATAGACTTTAAACCTGAGATATTTTTATTGGGAATTATACCAGAAATATATTGTAAAGAATTGAAATATTTGATTGTAAATGTTTTAACAGCGGCTAGAATGGTATTTGCTAAGAATTGGAAAAATGAAAAAATACCTATGCAGGAGGAAATTATTAAGAAAATCATGGACTGTGCTGAAATGAGTAAATTATTTTTTATTTATTTATTTATTTATTTATTTGATTTGCCAATTGTTTACAAGATAATAAGTATAAGTGTATACATAGTTGTGAATACATGAAATGGGTACATATAAGAAAAATAAGAGAAGAATAAGAGAAACAATAGGACAGGGACGATAGGCACGTTGGTGCGCTTATGCACACCCCCTACAGACCTCTTAGGAAAGGGGTGAGGTCAATAGTAGACAGTCTAAGGTTAAAGTTTTTGGGGTTTGGGGAAGAAACTACAGAGTCGGGTAGAGTATTCCAGACATTGACCACTCTATAGCTGAAATCGTATTTCCTGCAATCAAGTTTGGTGCGGTTAACTTTGAGTTTGTATCTATTGTGTGCTCTTGTGTTGTTATGGTTGAAGCTGAAGTATTCATTGACAGGTAGCACATTGCAATGTATGATTTTATATACCATGCTTAAATCAGACCGAAGACGGCGTAATTCAAGGTTTTCTAGTTCTAGAATTTCAAGTCTGGTGGCATAAGGTATTCTACAACGAGTAGAGGAGTGGAGAACTCTTCTTGTGAAATAAGATTAAATATAAGATTAAATCATAATGAAAATTAGAATATCTTGTATAAAATGATAGAAAAATAGTCAAATGAATGTTTAATAATTGATATTATATAAGTACAAGCTAGACTGATAAGGTGAGAATTTATATAACGTGAGTAATGGTAAAAAAAGGATAGCACAAAAGATTGTAACCAACTGATACACTGTATGTATATAATTGAAAGAGGGTTTTATGTTTTTATGTTTTGTTCATATGTTTGTTGTAAAAAATAAAAACTTTGTTTTAAAAAAAATCTTCATCTTCTTTACTTTCACCATTCAAGACCCAAACTCTTAACATTGCTCACCAATCTTTATAAAAAGATAAGAAAAAAGACTGCACTTTATACTACACTGGTGAGACTACACTTGGAATACTGTGTTCAATTTTTCTCATAATAATGCAAACAAGATGTTGAGATCCTAGAAAGAATGCAGGAAAAGCAACAAAGATGATAAGGAGTGTAGTCTAATGAAGAGAAGATTAGGGGTGATATGATATCAGTCTTCCAGTACTTCAGGGGCTGTTACAGAGAAGAATGGATTGATCTTTTCTCCAAAGCTGATGATAACACTGATGATGTTATCTAGTTTGGGTAATGAAATGTCTGCAAGAAAATAACCAACCTCAGAGGCATAAATGACCTCTCATTTCCACTCTGAGCTACAAATATTTTCCTTTATTGATTCTCCAAAACTCCTGAGGGCAGGACAGGAAGTAATGGTTGGGAGATTATTAAAGAGAAATCTAACCTAGACTTAAGGAAAGATTTGCTAACAGTGAGGACAATTAATCAATGGAATGGGTTACCTTCAGAAGTCATTGGAAGTTTTCAACAACAGATTAGAAAGCCATTTGTCTAGAATGGTGTAGCATCTCTTGCTTGAGCAGGGGTTTGGACTACAGAGCCTCCAAAATCCCCTCCAACCCTATTATTCTATGTTCTACATTCTATGATCTGTTCTTTGGAGCACAATGAGGGATTGTGCACAATTAATATATCTAAGATGAGAATTAGTCTGACTTTCCAAAACACAGAGCTGCTGCTGAATAAGAATTTCCAAATGGGCTGACATCAATGTCTAGTCAACACAAAACAATATGAAGCAAATGTTGGATGGAAACTGATATTACTTTGGTTTTAAATGCAAAACTCTGTAATGATATTGATCTCTGGAAATATGTGCAACTGGTAATCATATTTGAATAAATTTTGGCAGGGGAATGGGGGAAAGGTGAGCAGTGTATTTCTTTCTCCTAAATGTCTAAGATAAATAGGTAATTTGAGGTCCTCAAAATCAATTCACATCTATCCCACCTAACATGATAAATAACAAGGGATTTATAGTTATAGTCCACAATACCTGAAGATCCTTTAATAGGTTTTTTATGCTTGCAGCACATGTTTTTCGTTAGACTATTCTTTGAAATAATTGTGTGCTTAATTTTTAAAAATAATATCACAAAGGCCTTAACACAGGAGTGTCAAACTCAAGGCACACAGGCTGGATCCAGCCCGCAGGGTCCTTAAATTCAACCCACAAGTTCAGCCTGGAAATATCAAAGAACCGGCCTGTGGTGCATCTGGTGGCTAAAATGGGCTCATTTTCACCCTCCATGGCCTCCTGCAGCACTCTGCCAGCCGAAAACGGGGCAAAACCAGGCAAAACCCAGGCCAAAAATGGCCAACAGAATGCTGCAAAAGGCTCGGAGGGTGAAAATGAAGCACAGACCCCCCCATGCCCCATTTTGACTGGCAGTAGGCATCTGTCCTGCCCTCCCCCCTGGCCCACAGAGGAGAACTATAATGCTGATCCGGCCCTCAAATAAATCCAGTTTGACACTCCTGCCTTAACAGAACTGAATCTGACAGTCATGTCAATTCCATCCACTAGAGGGCTGTAGCAAATATTCAGCAATTTCAGTGCAAATAGTAATACTTACACATCCCAGTTAGGAATAAAAATCCAGATGGAGATTATGCTGACTCTGGATCATTACAGGATAAAATTTTAATTTATTATCCTATGTATAAAACAAGGAAATTATTATTCCATATATCACTTTACTAAGACTAAATAAATTCGTAGATTATCATGCTTAGTAGATTGGCAATGCATTTTTTTCAAGTTTGCTGCAGAGCATCAAAAATATTGATTCAGGGTGTTTTTTGTAAAGTTGGATTGCTCTGTGAGGTTCAGATATAGTCAGTTTATTCAAGTTAATTCCCAGGTTGATTTCTGTATGAATATTTCAGGGGTGGGCTTCAAAAATTTTAGCAAAGGGTTCTCTGCCTGGCTACTGAGAGGGCATGGCTATGGTGAGTGTGGCCTAGTCAGCCTCCTTCACCACGGTGGCAGGGGTTGTTTTTGCCCTCCCTAGGCCCCGGACACTTTTCTTGAGCCTCTGGGAGGGCGAAAATGGCCTACCCAGGCTCTGGAAGCTCTCTGGAAGTCAGAAACGGGCCCATTTCCAGCTTTCCTGAACTTCTGGGCAGCTTGTTTTTCACCTTTCCCAGCCTCTGTGTGCGCCCTGCACTTACCTGCATCCAAAATGGGCCGCATGGGGATTCCTGGGAGGGGTGGGGTGGGGTAGGATGGGTGATGCCAGCCAGGAGTGGGATTTGGGGGTTCTCCGAACTGCACAGGGGCTAGCTAGGGGCTCTCCCAAACCCCTGTGAACTGCCAGCAACCAACATCTGGTATATTTACATCTACAATGTGACTATATTCCAAAGGAGAGCTGAGTTACAATTAATCAGATGTAAACAAATCTCATAAACACCAATCTATGCAGAGCCTAGGATCAGTTGAAATTAGTAGCTTTAAATGTAGCTTGGTGTGTAAAATGAAGGAAGACTGACATGAGAATCAGGGAATTCTCTTTCATATGTAAGTTAAATGAAGTGGAATGGGAGTAAAGTGAAGAGGCAATGATATGGTCTTTGCTGCATTTATATTTAGGCATGACAAGTAGGAGAAATAAATATATATTATTCAGAGAAGATAACAGGTAAAATATTTGGTCAGGGTCAAAGAGATTACTAAAATCTCCCTGGAAGCCATTTTTGAAAATAGATCCAGATTGCAAGCATTTGTCCATGCAGCTATCAGGAATCAAGCCCAGCTCAGTGATGCAACTTATACAATGTTAAACAAGATATATTTCAATGTGAAATAGAGATACATGT